TTTAGGGTGGTTGCTTATGGTGTAGCCGTTGCATCTGTGATGGCTATTACAACAATTCTCTTAACAATTGTAATTTATATTGTTTGGCGTCTTCCTATTATTGTTTCAATTATATTCTTTTGTATTTTTTTCACTATCGATGCTTCGTTTTTGGGTGCTACCTTACGAAAAATCGCGTCTGGTGGTTGGTTTACAATGTGTATTGCTATATTTCTTACCATAATGATGGGCATATGGAGATGGGGTACTGTTCGTATGATACATCACGAACGTTTACAAACTCCTGATCTTAATAAAATTTTTAAAGAAAAAAAAATTGTTTCTACCGATAATAGTGTTATAGAAAATTCATTACATGAGATTACATTAGAAAATGAGATTATTTTGGGAAATGGTGATGAGAATGTTTCCATTGGTAAGATAATAATTATTAATTTTTTAATACCTTAATTTAAATATTTTGCAAAATATTAACACTTTTACAACTTCTTTTATTAGATACCGAAACTCATTTGATACGCTCACCGGGTATTGGCCTATTCTATAGTGATATTGGCACCAAGATTCCACTTTCTTTCACGCAATTTGTAAAACACTTTCCAATCATTCCTCAAAATGTCGTTTTTATCAATATTCAAACTGTAGCAGATTCAAAAGTCGGTGATAATAATCGATTAGAAGTGAAAAAAATCAAAAATTATGAAGGTTGTTATCAAGTAACTGCTAGATATGGTTATTCAGAACAAGTCTCTCAAGGAAAAGAATTTCTTTTACAATTAATTGAATCAATTCGAAACATTGATCCTACTAACAAAAATTTAGCACATGATATTAATCTTGATAATGGTTTCGTTACATATGTTGTAGGACAACATTCTCTTTGTTCTAAACCTGATTCTCCATTGTGGATAAAAATTTTAGTTGGTATATATATGTTTATATATATTAATTCGAGAAAATTTTATAGTAATTGGGGTCTTCCTGTTGAGAATACTATTGTTGTTGGTGTAAATATTCCAATTTAATACAACTTTTGTAATATTTATTTATATTTATTATATGTAGTATACTATTTATTTTTATATGTAATTCAATTCGCTCTTTAATATAGTATAATATGTGGTACAGTATACGTGTATTGTCACATTATTTCAATTTAGTTTGTTGTAAAAGTATATGACGTGTATATGGGCGTTATTTTAAGCACTTGAACGTTATTTGATGTTTATAGTGTTATGGGGGGGATAACTGCGACTCGGTCGCTCCACTATTCAAAAACTCGTGTAACCGACGGTAGGTAACCTTACGAAAGAGGCGTGTTAGATTTGGCTGGTGGGTGATTAAGGCTTCAGTTACTTGGCCAACGAAA